CAGGCGAGAGACCGATTGCTGACTAATAGGCTGATTTATTTGCTGGGATAAATAATTAGCTATTTCTTGCTGGTTTAAAGTGCTGTTTTTCTTAAGGTAAAAACAAGGTATTTTAAAGTGTTTTGGTCAACCTTGGGTTTAGGTCCTCTTTTTTGGCAAGGTCGGTTAGTGGGATTTTCTTTTCTCCAAAGGGTCATTGAGCTAGTTTCAAAGATATTGGCTAATTCTTTTCTACTGAACCTTTGGCGAAGTTTAGTTAGGTGATAGGGTTGGAATTTCATAGAAATTTACTCTCTTTCCAGTTTTTCCTTTGCCCATTCGTCAAGTTCTTCTGTGCTACAATCTTTGGATAATAACTTTTCTTTTCATTTTTCAAATAAAAAGAGTTTTGTTGAATTTATTCTTTTTCTAGTATCATCTGTGCGTAAACTGACAAGCTTTCTAAATTCTCTTTTGGCTCAAATTTTGTTGACATCAATAACTGTTTCAATCATTGAGGGGTCATCAAAAGAAAACTTTTCGCTTTCCAATTTAAATATTTTTCTTCTAAAAGACTTTAATCTTTTGAATACCTGTTTTTCCTTCTTTTCTTTATCATTCGTATACATATGTAAAATTTTATAAGTGTTTATACGGATAAAAATAATTTTCAATAAGCCCTTAAAAAATAATTTACTAAGTAAATACTCCAAATTAATCAAGTAAAATTAGGGCTTACTTCATCCAATTTAGAAAGTTAAAAAACCAGCTTAAAAAATTCATGTCCTCATAAACTAGTTGATAAGTATTAAAAAAATAATAATATAAAAGCAAATGGAAAAAAATCGAAATGGTAAAATAATTTCTCCTATTAATTCTCCAAAGGAAGTCCGATGTTTTGATTGCGAAAAAATGTTTGCTCTTTCTTTCGTTGTTCCTAAATGAGATTACAGCAAAAAAAATAATTGGAAATACTGAACTGGAAATAAAGAGGATGAGGGTAAATATAAGTGTAATTCATGTTTATTAGATTTGTATTACAACCGAAAACAAGAATATTGAAAATTAGTAGTTGATTCTAAAAAAAGGCGACAAATGTCAAGTTATATTTACGATAAATCAATTTCTAGTTAATTTTACAAAGTAAATTTTCTAAATTAAGACTAGTTTTTTGTATACATGTAAAAACTTATATATAAGGTGATATTATTATGGACAAAAAACAAAAATGCTTCAATTGTAAGGTAAATGATGCCAAGATTGAAAATGTGAAAATAGTCGTAAGTCAAACGAGGGAAGAAAAAGTAATTTACAATCATCCTGTTTGCGAATCTTGCTGAGAAGAATTATTAAAATGCTCCGAGTGTAAAACTAGACAGGCTAAGCGTATAACTACTAAAGATAATTCCGAAGTTATACTTTGTGGCGAATGTTTTACCAAAATTCAAGAAACTAAAGAATTAAGCCAAAAAATCAAAGCACTTCAAGAAAAGATTTTAGATGAAGGACATCCCGAACTAAAAACCAGCACTCAATTTTACAAAGATGGAAAGTGAAATTATTTTGCTACTTGTATTTGAGTAAGAAGAATAAGTAAGGAATATGCCCAAGAATTTAAAACCTTGCTTGAACCTTTGCGAGGTAAAACCGAAGAAGAATTAAGCAAAATATTTCCTGGTTGCTATCATCACTGAATGTCTTGGCAGGTTGACTGTTCTTTCAATGTAGAAAAACAAGAATTTAAAGTCTTAACCAAGGGAGCAAGAGAAAAAAGTATTGTTCGCTTTTTCTCGGAATTCTTACAAGAACTAGAAGATGTAATTACAGGTAAAGCAACCAAAGATGAACCAAAAGAAGATACACCAAATTCAGAACCAAAACCTAACCCTTCGAATGATAAAGATAGTAATCATTCATTAGATACAGAGAGAGAGAGAGAGAGAGAGAGAGAGAGAGAGAGAGAGAGAGCAATTCGGCTATTTCATGGTGTAGTAAATGCCGAAAACAACTCACTGATGAAAATGGAAGATTATTACCGAACCTTCAAGGCTTTCGTATAGAGCCAACAGGAGAAAAAATCTGTGTTCCTTGTATTCACCAAGCAGAAAACGAAAACAATAATTCAAAAACAAACAAAAAACAACTTCTACTTACAGGATGTAGATGTGAATATCGCCCCAAAGAATTTGGAGGACAAGGAAAAATTTGGGAATTGGCGGAGGGAGATTTAAAAAGTGAAGAATACAATGAAAACAAAGATTTAGTGGCTTGCCCCCAATGTTCACGGCAGGAAAAATACAAAAACTTCCCTAAAAGAGAATTTAAGGCTAATGAAGTAGGCAACAGAGGACATCAAATGAGCATCACAATTATTTATGGTGCCAAAAATGAAAGTAATAAAATTCCCCAAGATAACAGAAAAGGAGGTTCTCGCTGTGAAAAATGTAATCTAGCTTCAGGCGGGCTTACAATAATCACTCACTATTACACCAACTTTACCAAAAGAGTTTGACATTTTGGTTTACATTGCCCTTGTGCGGAACAATTCAAAAGGGAAAACCAGCAAACTTGCGGACAATGCCAAAAGCAAGAATGACCTGACATGGCAAAAGGTTGATTATTAGATTACGAATTAAAACTGGCTTTTTGTTCCCCAACTTGCCACATTAACTATTGCCAAGCCAAATGAGAAGAAGAGAGTTTAAATAACCAGCAAAACCAAACTAGACCTGATTATTCCCAATGAGCTAGGCAGGCTCAATTCTTTCCTCCCCAGTTGAGCATAACTCTTTCGGATGGTAGCCAGTCGCAAAATTCCTCCAATAATTCAACTAACCAAATCGACCAAGAGGCTACCAAACAAGAATTATTGTATTACCGAAAAAGTCTTGAAGAACTAAAAAAACAGTTAGAAAGTAGCAAACAAAAACCTAGCGAACAATTAAAACCTAATGAAGTTAAACATCAACAGGAACAAGTTAACTATTTATTAACTCTTCACCAAAATACCCAACAGCAAGTGGAAAATGCCTATCAAGCGAAATATGGTAAAACTGCTCTTAATTCTTTGTTGGCAAATTTGGAAAAGCAAGAGCAAATAAATCAGCAACCTAAAAAGAATTATTGACCTTTGATTATCGGAATCGGATTAGTTGGCGGAGGGTTAGTGATTGGTTTAATTATTTTCCTAGTCAACAGGCAAAAACAGTCTAAATAAAGCAAAAAATAACTTATAAACCATAACATTTAACTTGGGTAGGGTTATAGTCAATTTGGTTGGTTCATGAAACTCCACTCATATAAAAAATTTTACAAAAATTTAATATTGACTGATAATTTGGTTAATTTCCGTAATTATTTCTTCCCAGGAGCGGTCGGCATTAATAATTTTTATTCTTTGCGGAAAGTATTCTTTTAATTGTAAATAACCATTTCTAATTTTGCGATGAAAATCGTAATTGGCTTTATCCCAATTATTTGGTTCTTCGCCAGTTTCTTGTCTCCTTTGCCTAATTCTTAATTCCGTTTTAGCCGGGTCAATATCTAAAATAAAAGTAATGTCCGGAAAGGGAATATTAACTGTTTTTTCTCAAACTTCCACTAATTTATTAATAGGCAACTGACCTCTAATTCCCTGATAGACAAAAGTGCTATCAATATAACGGTCAATTAAAACGGTTTTACCGGTGGCTAAATTAGGCTTAATGACAGTTAAAGCATGTTCGTTATGATTAGCGGTAAAAAGAAAAAATTCGGTCCAAACATTAGTAATTAGTTGTCGGCTGACTAGGTTTTCGGTAACTAAATCTCAAACTTTTTTACCTAGTTCAGTGCCGCGGGGGGATTGAGTAGTAAAAGAGTTAGGAAATTTTTGCTTTAATTTTGCTAGGAGGCTAGTTTTCCCACTTCCGTCAATTCCTTCAATACTAATTAACAAGGGCTTTTTATTCATAATTGCTAATTTTTTCTAAATAAAATTTCCAAGAATGTTGGTTGTCCTCCATTTCTGGTGCTCAGTTTATATTTACAAACTTAATAGCCAAAATTTTTCCTATTTCTTTAATTTGGATTTGCCCCGAATACTGGTTAGCCCGATAAAAATATCCTTTTCAGTGTTGGTTTCCGGGGGCTAAATTAGCATAAAAAATATCTTTTTCGTCAATATTTTCGCAACTTTCCAGCACTAAATTAGTTTCTTCAAAAACTTCTCTTTTCGCGGCTTGTAAGGGCGTTTCTTTGGCTTCTATTTTGCCTCCGGGGAGATTTCAACCTCATTTTTTATCTTTCACCAGCAATATTTCTCCTTTTTCATTAGGAATAATTACCCGCACAAACTGCGGTAAGTTCGCGGGGGGATAACATATTTGTTGGATTATTTTTCCCACTTCTTCGGCTACGGCTGCTTCGCTTTGGCTAGCATCAATAATATAAATTCTCTCGGGAAAAATTTTTTTTAATTGGCAGTAATTGTCCCTTATTTTTTGGTGAAAATCTAGTTTTAAATTATCTCAATTAGTATACTCGCCGGTTTCGCTTTTTCTTTTATTTAATCTTGCTTGGGCTTGAATTGGGTCAATATCTAAAATAAAAGTAATATCTGGAAGCGGTAAGTTAATAGTTTTTTGGGCGATTTTTTGAATACTAGCAATTTTTATATTTCCGGTTAATCCTTGGTAAACAAAGGTGCTATCAATATAACGGTCAATAATGACTACTTTATTGGCTTGTAAATTGGGGCGGATAATTTTTTTAATTAATTCGTCAAAAGCAACTAAAATGAGAAATATATAACTTCAATTGCTCGGCAAACCGTTGGCTTTCTCGCCCTGGGCTTCATTTAGCAAATGTCATATTTTTTTACCTAATTCGGTGTCTCGTCAACTATGAGTTATTAAATTGAAATCGGCTTTTTTTTTTAGATTCTTAATAAGGCTAGTTTTTCCACTTCCATCAATTCCCTCAAAACTAATCAACCAAGACATATTTAAATTTTTAGCCCAAAAAGGAAAATTTAAAAGAGTTAAATGGAAGGTTCTAAATGCGGAAATAATTAACTTTTTATGGTTCTAATGTTCGCTTCTCTTGCTAATTTTATGTTCTCCTTAATTCTCTACTTTTTCT